GAATCCACATCATAGACTTGACCATCTGGTCCATCTAGACAACATAAAAATGCATCTGCCGGTAAATTGATAACTCTTTGCCGCAAAGTCAGTAAAACGCTAGGCGATATAGGGGGTGGCATTATTATAGAATCATTGTTTTTTGTATTCGCTTGGTTAGCATCAGGCCTTGTTGACGAGTCATCATCGACTGACTCGACATCAATCATTACTTCATCAGAAAGCATCGATTGGTTTACTGGAAGATCATTCAAATCTTGTACTCCGTCATCGGGCTCAGACTTTATATGAGTTATTTCACCATCAGACGTGGCTATGGAGAATTTGAATTCGCGTTACACCACATATAGGAAAATAAAAGAAACACACACGAAATTTAATAAAGTACAAATACTGCTCGAGGATGCTTCCTCGTGATTTTCATGTATATTAATTTGATGTGTGGGTGTATTTCTACCAGGAATTCGGCTCTAATTAAACGTATCATTAATGTGATCAATTGAATTCCGTTATGAAGGCCAGCAAATCATATATGAACTAATCATAATCATGAATTCCATACATTAACGCATACATCTGCTTTATTTTCGGCTTGAAACCACGCCTTCACCCAACGACTCACATGGAATGCTGCAGCAATTTTCCACTTTCGCTCTTTTTTTAAAGTCTTTCTGCATCCACGACTGAAATATTTTCATTGAATTCAATTCAATACAATTAAATAAAGTAAATAAATAAATCTAATTGTATCGAAAATGGTTCATTCACATAATCGCGTACCATTTCATCAAGCAAATAATCCCAGTGAGTGTAATTCCTCGGTGGATCCCTAAATGATTCAATTTGCTGAAAACTCCACATTCCATTATGTTTTAATTGATCAATGCGTTCTAACACTCTAATATTTTTAACTTCTTCACGTGCAACCTTTGGATTTTAAATTTGATATAAGGTTTGTGTGAAATTGAAATGTTTGAAAGTAAGATGGTTAAATTTTTTACCGTCCAATTTTCAGTTATTAAGGCTTTCTTTGGATTCT